AAAAAAACGAAGTCAGCACTAGCTTTGTGAATCATGCCCGTATACCGAATTACTGGGCATTCCTATTTGTGAATCATGCCCATATACCGAATTACTGGGAATTCACATTTGTGAATCATGCCCATACACTAAATTACTGGGCATTCCGTGACATTAATGTTAAATCAACGATTTGCTATTTACTCTTTATAAGTATAAATGGGCAAACCATTATGTAGTTAGGTAAAAAGTAATTCGAATATATAATTTAAGAAATAAGACTAATCAAAAGCAAGAACATTTACTTTTAAATATGGCATTATTTGTAAAAAAGGAGAAATTGTATGGTCGGATTTTTGTTGAAATTGTCAATCGAATTATATCTAGTTCTTGGATGAAGTGTGATCTTCATAAAATATGACTATTGCCAACTATATATATAATATTTGGAAAAACAATTAATTATTGACAATTACATTAAATAGAATAGACAACACCTACGTAATAAGTAATAAGCGGTTGACATATACTATTCTTGTCGTTGTATTGGCTTTATTATACGCATATATATTATTTTTATATATTTCTACTAATGGCGCCTGTCGTGTTGCTGATAAAATGCAAAATATCTTTTAAAATAGTCATTCATATTCAGTTATTATTTAGGTAACTTCTTATTACATAATGTTATACTTTATAACAGCTCAGTTCTCCATTCGAGGGTTAAAATGTGTAAGCTTAAGTGATGTCCGTTTTGTTGTGTGCAATGAATAAATTCTCTTCCACGTGCAATACAAAATTCTGGTCGCTATCAAACATACCATCTTTTCCGGTTGGCAGTCTTAATTCCCCGCCCTTAATTCCAGTTTGCCTTCTTTGAAGACCTTACCTATTTGATTTATAAATACTTTGATCAGGTCCTGGATATGTATGAAATATTGCTACTGGTTGTGAAGCAAAAAGCAATCATCAAATCAATCAATCAAAATACGAAATATATTTCGAAATGCAAATAAGCTTGAATCGTGAGTCAATCTAGACTATGACAGAAGTAATGCACCACTGCCACCGAAATATGGTAGTTATTCATTGTCACTTTTCATATTTTTTTTTTATCTAAATGGCGAATTTTGGTGCTAAAAATCATTATGTATGTTCAAAAGTTGTTTAAGATTCTAGCATCGATCTTTATATCGATCACTTATATATCATGAAATACAAATAACTTTTATAATTACAACACGAAAATATTGAGAAACGTTGCATAATCGATTATAAACAAACAAAAGCGCTTACAAAAGGAATACAACTAAGGATGAAAATAGAAATCTTTGAGATAAAACCGATAAAAGTAATTACATGCTTTAACACTAGATTTGTGTCAGTTTAATTCTATAAAGATCAAAACTGTACAAGGACATATAGAGTAAGGTAAATGTACTTAAAACAAGATTTCTATCAGAAGTCCATTACTACTTATGCATTTTTGTATCAATATATAAAACAAATATTTGAATTTGTTACATCTAAATCTCAGTATGCTTTTTAGTCCATTTTACTAAACCGTTGCTTTGATCTCAGCCTATTATGTACGGTGTTTTCCCCCTTGAAATAATGCATCTCAAATCGGTCGCTGAAATCATTGTTGTGACACTTGCCATTTCACTATCCGCGGTTTGCTTTTTGATAACACATAGACATAAGCAAGTACATTTACTAATATTTTAGTATAACGATAATTAAGGAAAATGCATTTTCGATACAAATATTGAATACAGAAATTGAACTGATTGACAATCAAGTGGTTTCCGAATTTTCGTCGAATGGACACTCGCTTTTTATGTTATTAATCCAACAATATCAAGTTCTTGAATGTGCGTTATATTTATTGAACTCCGCTATTTCCAATAATAATATTTTAACAGATAATTGATTATTGGCAAATATATCTAGTTGAGTAGATAATCGCATAGCGTCAACGTGTTAAGTAATTAGCGATTGATATAGACTGTTATGGTCGTTATATTGAACATATATCAAAATATTGTCGGGCTATTATGTTAATACTAGATTTTCAATAATTATTCATTGTTAGTATATTATTTATTCATCTCTTTATGTTGTATATCAATTGGATATCTTGCTTATCAATTTCATATTTTGTATTCAAAAATACGTGTGTAGTATTTGTCTCTAAAAGTTAAGCATCCATCCACCAATTTATCAATCATTTTTTTTAATTTGAATATGATGCACATTTGTACTAGTCGAAATGTTTGGTTTCACCATCCATTTTTGCTAAACATATCGTCATATTTTAATTTGGGAAAAAAAATAGCTGGAAGGGGTGAAACATAATCGACTGCTTGGACCCTCTTCACTTTGGAATTAGAAAAAATAAGAAAACACCGAAAAAACACCCACAGAAAATTGAATACTGAGCAATGCAAACACTAATGAAACCGGAGTGAACTCAAATGGATTGGAAGACTAAGCAGTTCATGCTTAACTATTGGTACCTGTCGTATAACTCGTGACAAGGATAAATCTGGTAGACAGTCATATCAGTAATAAGTGACCTTACTTCTTAATATATATAATGACATTTACATATAACATTCATACTCAACACATTTCGGAACATGATATGACAGATAATTAGGAATATTATTGATTGATTGATTAATTGTTGGTGTCTAGCACCAATATCAGCACTATTGGCTATGTCGTGGTTGCAATTTTTGTTCTTGGAGGAAGCCAGAGTGCCCGGAGAGAACACATAAGCATATGGAGATGTGTTATGATTGCCAATGAAACAAAATATCCATAGAAGATAGAAGACCAATGCAAAGATACAAGTATCTTAGAAATATTAGATGGAGATATTTTTCTAAAGACCTGTATTTTTTGGTATGTGAATAGATCTATTTGAATACATTCACTAACGGACAAGAATTCTTTCACCCAGTCAACCCTCTTTGCAGAGCCCATCCATTAGATTCATTACTATTGTCTCTCCTCAAAATGCATGAAATATTTGGCACTCCACGTTAAGGAAATAACGACCAATCATTTTATCAAAATATAGAAGATGTTAAAAAAAACCTAAATTAATGCGACTAATCACATAGCCTATCACACAGTTCTTTGAAAATACTGTCAGCGAAGTTTGATAGTTATTCATTGTCATTCCTCTAATTAGATATAGGAAGATGTGTTATGAGTGCCAATGAGACAACTCTCCGTCCAAGTAACAATTTATAAAAGTAAACCATTATAGGTCAAAGTACGGCCTTCAACACGGAGCATTGGCTATATAAAAACGAGAAACACGTATGAACTACATAAACAGACGACAACTACTGTACATCAGATTCCTGACTTAGGACAGGTGCAAACACTTGCAGCGGGATTAAACGTTTTAATGGTACCAAACCTTCTCCCTTTTCTGAAACAGTAGTATAACATCACAACATAGAAAGACACACTATAAAATATCAATTGAAAGACTTAACTCAATCAAAAAACGTAAATTAACACACAATGAACGAATAAATTTGATCTGCGATACCTGAATGCAAATACATAGAAAATAAAAATTATAAGGGATAAATAATTAAGGTCAAAAGCAAATAAACAGGTTTAAACAAAGTTAAAGTATGATACCACTGTGAAATGTTAAACGATATTTAGAAAATCATCACTTTTGAAAAAACCTGCGTCATATTATACACAGGTTAATGAAAATAATTTTGTTGTCAAGTATACTTCTTCTTCTGTGTGTATAAAATCTTCCGTTTAAGTTGTTTTTAATATATATGTCGATTATATTACTGGTTCTAAAATCAATAAGACTATTGGGAAGCTAATTGAAGATTCTAATAAAGTTATAAGAATCTTATGTGAACCTTACATTGCTCCCTTATATCAACAACATGAAATTATAATATCTTTTATAATTAACTAGAAAATAATGGATTTTTTTTCTACAGATAATGTTGCATAATCGATTATTACCGAACAAAAGCAAATACAAAAGAAATACAACTAATGATGAAAATAGAAATCTTTGAGATAATACCAATAAAAATAATTAAACACATTAACATTGGCTCTTTGTTAGTTTAATGCTATAAAGATCAATATAAATGAATTATGTAACAGGTGTTGTAATCTCTTTAAGTCTCTGTAGGCTTGTGAGTTATTTAATCTGAGTCCATTGCTTTGACGTTGAATTTTCTTTACCGCGAGTTATTTGTCTAGAATCACTACTTCAGATATCGGTAACTGAAATTTACTCATTTTTAAAAGTTAGCCTGTTCATTAACCGTAGTAAAATTTTTGACAAACAAAGCTTCTTTAACTATATATCGGCTAATTTAGTTCACAGAAATGAGTAGTTTTAAACGTTACCTTTGACCATTGCAATGTTTATTTGCCTTCACTGAAATCGAACTCCCTCGGTGAGGTCTACAATGTATGGCTATTATTCAACACACAGACAAAACTTACTGGCTACCAATTAGTTAATATACAATTAAACTGTCGTTGAAATATACTTGTCTAAATTATCATTGTGTACCTGAGAAGGTTTCATTTTAATATCAGTCCTGATATCCGAAGATTTTCGTTTTAAAGTGGATATCTAAAATTATATTTGAGTCTTTCAAGCTTTACACTCCATTGTACATGTATGCTTATGTTCTATACAAGGTTATCAATTCGATTTTGTAAATGAAGTCTGCAATATTGTGTTAGAATATAGATTTCCCAAAAAGTCGTGTTCGTCGTATTATGTGCAGTGTAACAGCTTTGTAGTTGTGGTACGTGTCGTTTATCTCTACTACATCGATGTTGCACATAATTAATTTACAGTATCCATTATTCAGTTGTCTGTCATCCATACTGAGATGCAACAAACGCAGTGTGAACAATGATAGAGAATGTCTGCAGAAGGTGACAATCTGCATGCCAGGATGTTTTATCACTATTTGATGATGACTTTTCTATGTTTTTTTCAGGACATATTAGGGTGCTTTATGCCGGTTTGTTGGGAAATGTTGCAAGATTTATCTATATATCGTTACTTAAGAATCCATGGTGGGTGCTTCCTTTTGAACTAATACAGGGTAAGTAGTAACTATATAGTTCTGTATGATCATTACACTTACTCTACAGAGGACTATTATAAAATTCCTTTTTTCTTCTTCAAATGACTCAATTTTATTAAACTAGCGAAAGAAACACCACAAGCTTGAATATATGAAACGTCTGAGCCGATTATAACCTGGAAACTATCTCTGATCTATAACAAAGGAATCTCTTCATGAATGTTCAAAATCTTCAAACGTGTAGTTTGGCTAGCATAATGTCAATTTCAATTCTTTATTAACCAAATGTTTTACAACATATAGGTACATGTATAATCAATATATACTTAATATTGATTACAAAAATATACGATCATGACAAAAAAAACAGAAGTATTAAATACACAAAAAAAATAAATACATATAAATATAATTCCAAAAAGCAAATATATGTAACAAATGAATTACAAATCAACTTACTGAAAACAGTCATTTCTGAGCTTCAGTGCTCTAAATATATATTTTTCTAAGATGCACAAGTCTTTTACATTAGTAGTGCTTAATAATTGTAAAAGTTTATAAACAGATGGCTTACGCCAATAATATGGTTTTATCAAACATTCACACTAATTTGAATATAAAGGACATGATAAAATAAAATGCATTTCATCCTCAATATCATCAATACACAATGTACAGGTTCTAAGGTTTCTTTTTACATTAGAATACCTTCCTTTCTCTATAGCTAGATTATGTGATGACAATCTAAATTTAACAATACACTTTTTGTAAATTTCGGGTATTGGTTTACATAAATATGACTGCAAAGAAAAATTGGATATCATATATCTATACAAAAAACATTTTGATGACCTATCTAAAGTAGCATCAAACTCTTGTTTGACAATATCGCATAGTCTCTGTTTAATAACCATAATATGATCTTTACATAAAGAATTTTGTGAATACCACAGATCATTTAAACCAAGGTGGAACAATTCCTTTCGTATATTACAAACCCAGTTATTTTTGTCATTCGGATTCTTCAAACACATATCATATAAATAATTGTAACAACCAAGTAATATACAATTGTTATTATTCAATACCTTAATCCAATATTTAAATATACGCAATTTCCTGGTTACTAACATTGGAAATCTGCCAAGTTCATAATAAACCATGACATTCGGTGTACTTGTTTTAACATTCAAAATTCTTTTACAAAAATCAATATGTATTTTTTCTACGTCTTTAGCTTTATGGAAGCCCCATATTTCAGAACCATAACATAGAATACAACTCACATATGTATCAAATAATGACAATAACGTGGCATAATTAAATGAAAATTGTCTAATATTACTAAATAAACAGAACATAGCTTTTCTACCTTGTTCTGCAACTTTTTTTTGTGCAACAGCAAATTTTCCATTAAAATTAAGAACAACACCTAAATAAGTAAATTTGTTAACAATATCTATTTGTACATCATCATAGAACCATTTATCTTCTTCCTTTACTAAGCCACCATTTCTAAAAAATACAATTTTGGTTTTATCAATATTTACCGTTAATTTCCATTTCTTAGTATAAATATACAATGCATTTAACATCTCTTGCAAACCATCTTTGGTTTCCGAAAAAATGACCATGTCATCTGCATACATTAATAAAAATAAACTTAATTCTTTCAACTCTACAGCTTTACAATTATTGTAAATGTTGTGTAAATGGTGTATAAGTGTTTAAACATAATGAGGTACATTTCCGAAATCATTAGTAATTTCCGGTATCAGTCTTACAAAATTTCCTTGTCTTTAATTATAATGATGATATTTCCGAACATTTAGGTATATATAAGAGTTCGGTTTGTTTGAAATATTGTGCAGTGTAAACTTGTATAATCAACGCTTTTAACATGTTCTATATAAACATAAGAAGATGTGGTATGATTACCAATGAGACAACTCCCCACCAGAGACAAAATGACGTAGAACTTAGTAACTATTGCCATGGCCACCGTACGACCTATATTAATCGTTTTTATCCTGTGTTTTGAATGTTGAGTTCATGATAATTAAACCAAACGACTCCAGATTGTTGAATCTGTCATATTATTTTACTTACTCCTTGCCATTTTACCTCAACTACAGGAGGCAAATACGTGATGCGTAAATACACTGCAACAAAAAAATATTGCATGTTTAAACAATGATATAGGAAACATTTTTTTTGGTTTTGTTTTTGTTTTTGTGTTTTATACTTTTGCTTTGTTTTCTTTCTGAAAATTAATTGGCTTTATTTAGTCTTAGATGCATGATTTTTTTTATTGCAGTGTATTTACGCAAGTACAAGTACCCGTCCACGTCAACTCTATGTTTTTGTTAGATGTTTTTCTATTTGTATCTATCTGATGAGTTAAGCCTTTTCAACTGATTTTTATAGTTTGTTCTTATGTTGTACCGTAACACCACTGTCCCAGGTTAGGGGGAGGGTTGGGATACCGCTAACATGTTTAACCCTGCCACATTCTGTATGTATGTGCCTGTCGCAAGTCAGGGGCCTGTGATTCAGTGATTGTCGTTTGTTGATGTGTTACACATTTGTTTTTCGTTCATTTATTTGTACATAAATTAAGCCGTTAGTTTTCTCGTTTGAAGTGTTTTACATTTGTAATTTCGGGGCCTTTTATAGCTGACTATGCGGTATGGGCTTTGCTCATTGTTGAAGGCCGTACGGTGACCTATAGTTGTTAATTTCTGTGTCAATTGGTCTCTTGTGAAGAGTTGTCTCATTGGCAATCATACCACATCTTTTTTTTTATATTGTTTGTATTCATTTTTCACAGGAGTTACCCACGCGGCTGTGTGGGCTGCCTGTTGTTCATACATCACACATGCAATTCCTTCCGAGCTACGTTCTTCTGCCCAGGGAATATTACAAGGATTACATCATGGGTTAGGAAGAGGGTGTGGTGCTGTGTTTGGTGGTATCATGGTATATAGCTATGGTATGTATGAATCACTTATGTGCTTAATACAGATATAATTAAAATCGGACATGATCTTTCATTAATTTACTGTTTAAAAAGAATGTATCTAATGTATTAAAACCTCCTGAAATATATTTTTTAAACATCTTGTAAATGAATCAGACTATGAGAAAATATATTACTAGTACTAGTATAAAAAATAGAGAACATACCATGGGGGGATATCAAAAACAATATGCGAAAGAAAAACAAACGCCACGGCTAAAGAAAAAAAAAATGAAAAAAGTTCACTACAAAACAGATCACAGGTAACCAGATTAAACAATTAACTAAGTTAATTTATTTTCTATCTATAACATTTCGATCATATATACTGTCATAAATTACAATTTCAGGTACTGTAGTGACTTTCCGAGCTTATGGAATAACCTGTTTGATAATCTTGATTTTCTATGTTGGTCTTAATCGTTTCTTTGGAAACAGATCACATTTCTCTTATGGATCTAGCATGAAGCATGAACGTCTTGAAGAGGAGTCGCCTACATTACATTTAGCTCCACATGGTGTTCCCTCTGGAATGGCGCGAGATTTGTCTAGTAGTAGATTGAAAGACGAAGGTAAAATAGATAATTTGCCAATATTATATAAATATGGTCATTTTAAAGTTTTGTATATTTAAACAATTACATGAAATGACAGGCATCATCTTATATACAATGGGCTGTGATTTGAAAAATAGACATCAATTAGTTTTGCAGTAGTATCTCCACTTTATTGTTTCGGACGGGTATTGTAATGACAAATTAATTAATAAGTAAGATACCGTCTAGTTGAACGGATACAACGAATAATTAATGTATCAGGTTCCAAAAATGTTTTTGTAGTAGAACTTGAAAAAAATGATTGTTTTGTCAATAACGTGGTAACAGTGAAGTATGACTTTTCACCTGAAATCTACCACTAGATTACAAGCCACTGTTCTACAAAGGAATTTTCTTTTAACACTGCTGGAGTTGATGAGATTGAACATCCCTTTAGTATCTTCTGTCTCTCTTTTGCAGTTATAAATCTAAAGATACATATATGGTCAACAGAAGCACTGCTTCACCCGTCACTTTAAGAGTCATTATTCCATAATAAAACATGTAAACCAACCTTCGCCCTCTATAACTATTATGAAATATCCATTGAGTAAAATATGTGACAGTTTAAATATGAAATTTAGTCCATAAATAACAACAGAAGAACACGTACATTACGTGCTTTACCAACTTAGATAAGGGTAACGCCGTCCTTTAACTAAAACAGGTCGTTTTATAAAGCTACAAAATGTAGGTAATTTATTGTTGAAATATTGACTGTTTTGACTAAATATATCTATCGTATTGTTAGCATTGATCACTACATGTTAACGACATCGTCAGTCCGTCCTTCCGGTCTTCGTAGCGCTCTCACATGTACAATTCTTGCCATATTTTTATGAAACTTATATCATAGGTTTATATCAGCAATGTCTTAAACGATTTCGAAAACCAGTGCCGATCAATTATTTTTAAAAGCGGTTTGCCCCTTTGAAACATTAATTATATGGAAAATTGCATCGTTAGCGCTTTCATTTGTACAATTCTCGCCAGATTTTTATGGAACTTATATCATAGGTTGATATCAGCAATGTTTTGGAGGAGTTAAAAAATCAGTGCCGATCAATTATTTTGAAAAGAGTTCTGCCCCTTTGAAACATTAATTATATGGAAAATTGCATTGTTAGCGCTCTGTACCATTCTTGCCAGATTTTTATGAAACTCTTATCATAGGTTTATATCAGCAATGTCTTGGACAAGTTCAAAAATCAGTGCCGATCAATTAGTTTTAAAAGAGTTATGTCCCTTGGAAACAATAATTATATGGAAAATTGCATTGTTAGCGCTCTCATGTGTACAATTTTATCAAACTTATATCATAGATTTATATCAGCAATGTCTTTGACACTTTTGAAAATAAGTGCTGGTAAAATATTTTTAACGAGTTATGCCCCTTTTGAATATAAATTATAACAGAAATTGCATTGCATTTGCTCTGAAACCTTCATTTCTCTATACAAGTTTTAAAGAACAGAAAAAAGTGTTTATTTAGTTATTGCCCTTGTACCTCGGATACATAAAATATGTGCAACGCGGGGGACATCGAACTCTGTCCTTTTATTTATAATAGTATTTTTCTTATTTAAATGACAGGTTGAAATAATTGAAGCCATAGTTGACTGCCATGCATTGCGAAATTTGAATTTAGTAACATAAAACCTGAAAAAAGTATTTCAGCATTGTTATTGGAAGGACATGTACGAATCAGGATGACAGTTTTTCGAAACTGATCAATACAAGTGTTTCCCGAAAGTAGTCTAATTTTGGTTTAGAATTATTGATTTGAGTTTATTTAACGGAGTTACTACTACTTTCGCATACTTTGCTCTTTTGACAAAGATTTTTAAAAACGTTTTACGGTTATTTCCCATATTCCTAATATGCATAATTTGCAGTCGATGTTTTCTATTACAGGTAATCCTACATATGGATCTACATACGACGGTTAGTATATTATATATAACTGATACGCTTAGATATTACGCTTTATTCATATCATTTCTATTTTCAGAAAAAAATCGTGTACTATATACGATAATTCTTGGCGTAATTTACGCGTTTAATGGGTAAATTGGATCTTTCATTCTATAACTGACAAGGCAATTGCACCGCTTAATATATTTCAAGCATCTCTGTATTCTAATGTAAATTATTCAACCCTACCCACAGAAATATATAAATTTTATCATTTATCACATTTATCTATACAAGTTTGCGGGAAATCGTATGCTTCTTTATGATGTTTCACGAAAAAGTCCGAAAGAAGGAAGCTTAAGATGGAAAAAAGTTTTACGCTATGTTATTGAAGCTTTAGTACCCCCACTTCAGACAAAAATCGACCCTTCTACGAATGGACACCACTATTTGTTTTTTTAATTTCATTTAATTAAAGGGCGAAAATGATTCATTTCTTCAACATGTACTATATTAATACTTATGATGATATTAGAAGATGTAATGAGTATTTTGTGGATTGATGGATGATGATTGATTGGTTTACCGACCTTGCGAGACTCTCATGGTTAGTCAAGATCGTCACCCCCCCCCAACCAGTGGCGAAAATTTTGTGGTTAGTGAGTGTTAGAAACCTCTACAATAAGAAGTTATTTGCTTCTCAGTCATTTACTTAAACATACTATAGTATATTTACGTGACTCAGATATATATGTATATATTATATATTATATCTTTTGGAAAATGTTGTTTGTGCTGTATTTAGACCCCTCTACCAAGAAATTTGTTTGCATGCACACATATAAAAATTGCGGTTTTTATCCAACGCAATCATAGGTTTGAACGTTGTTTTCAATTTAGACTTATTTATATTTTTCATTTTGGCTTGTATTATATTTGCCTTCGGGTTTATATGATCCGTTCATCCTATTTCGACTCTTCAAAATTCAAGAGTCTATCCTAAATTGAGGTAAATTATATGGCCTTCCAAATACCGTTTCGATTCCTAACATCGAAATCCGGATATGGTGTACAAATTTTTGCACCTCATGTTTGCGGTATACCATCTTTTTCGCAAGTTTATTGTTTTCTTTTTGGTATTAAATTAATAATAAAGATCCAATTTGTTATATCTTGTGATCCGTTTATTTGGCAATCACCAATGGCAGTCAGCAGGGTTTTAGAACATCCGTTGTTCGACCTGTTTGTCAAATGCATTTTGTTTAAATATACTTTTTTACTTTTTTGGTCTTTTGGAAAATGTTGTTTGTGCTGTATTTAGACCCCTCTACCAAGAAATTTGTTTTGCATGCACACATATGAAAATTGCGGTTTTTATCCAACGCAATCATTGGTTTAAACGTTGTTTTCAATTTAGACTTATATATATATTATATATACATAATTACTCTAAATATCAGCACAACAATGTTAAATCTGCAAATTAGCGGAAGCAAAGTTTTGTTCTTCCCTCGCCGGGATTCGAACTCATGCTATTGGGATATCGTGACAACGCCGCCTGTACTGTGTCCAGCGCTCTAGACCACTCTGCCACCTAGACTGAACTAAAACATTCAGCTTTCGGTGGTCTAGTGTTACCTTTCCTCGTCAGTAGAATCTAGAGTTGTAACACCGTACTTGATATGTTAGGCATGACAATGAAATTGATTGCAGATTAGCTAAATTATCTGTCGTAAAGGATCGTAAGATACATATATATATATATGGTCAGAGCGGAGAATTTCTCAACGAGTTGTTATCATCACCACCATACTTTTCATCTCAGAAATATCTGACATAATTGATTCCGGGTTAATATTGTATATGAAGACTCGCTACCCATCAATAACGTCTGTATTCATTTTATGACTTTATCTTAGACAAACTTTATAGAAATAATCACAAGGAAATCCTCTAAAAGATACCGCATATCATGTTGACGACGACCCGTAAATTTCATATATTCCTTTAAAGATCAGGAAAATAACTTTTTTGTCTTTTCAAGTTTGAACTATGCGTCTGTATAAACCTGTACATAAGACGAATTTCTGCTGCGGCGTATTTCCAACAATCTTGAGTCTTGCAGGAGCTAAGGGCCTCGCAAAGTCCTCCAATGTTTCTATCCCTTGTTCCGACGTGAACCTTATCATAAATTGAATTCGATGATAATTATTCGCACATTTTGTCCTTACTGATAGTACAAGGTCATTTTTTTCTTTTTTTCATGAACTACGCAAATGTGGTTGTCTTTGAGTATTTCAAATCGCATGCAATGTTTTCTACATGATGAGTGGTTATCATTAACTGCGAGTCTTTCCTCAATTATTTACGTTTCATTTACAGTAACTATCCATGTTCCTAGTAGAATTGAACTTGTTATCATTGGTTATGCGGATATAAATGATTAATCGATTAAACATCAATTATTTACCAGGTAATAAGGATTGCATTATTTAGAATGTTATTAATTAAGTTATTTGTTTTGATAGATGGAGAAAACGTAAATACTGACGTGAGTATAGTAATAATGTCATTTAAAGGTTAATGTTGATGATAAAAAAGGGCATTTCACCAGACTGCCGCGTAGGGATATATTGCACTACTTAATTAACATATATAGGTCATATGTTCTTTAGCAAATGATGACTGAATTAACACTTTAAAGTTTGATTCGAAGTGCTTTTCTGCATTTACCTTTACCTGCAGGAACGTACGAACTCTAAAATTTGAACAACATTTACAAGTGAACATCGACAACAGAAGTATTGACTCCGAGGGAAAAGCTTTAAAATAAATAAGTGAACAAAATTCTTCCCCACTTAATATTTAAAACTTAATACAGCCTTGTCATATTACGATCGACATTGGACAAGAAACTAAACAGATGAAACTTACACTAGGAAATACTAAGAAAGACAAACTCGGCACTAAAAATGCAGGACAGAAAAAAACAAAAAGAATTCTATATTTTTTATTTGAAACTAACTAACTAATTACTGCATAGAAAAGCATCGAAATGGAGCATAAACGTGCTAACAAGGAAATTCTATGCACAACAAAACAATAAAAAAAAAATGACTTAAAAGCTTTGGTAGAACTATTAAACGACACGTTAAGTCATTTTTCCAACCATTATACATTGTTACTTTAGTTCATGTGCATGTTTTACTGAAGGTGTTTATTGCAGTGTCAGTGCCACCAAATGTAAATAATCAAAATCACACTTGAAAATGGCATGCTTGACAATGAAAATAATCAATCCTCGTTATCTTGCAACAGTTGAGTACCAGCAGGACGGATTTCATATTAATCAACTTTTGAAAATTTTGCTTTTTCTATCAAAATTGTATCATTCTTTTACCACGCATATACTGCCTTTTGTCAAACTCTAAATTTTCTGGAGCTTAAAATCCAAACGGACGTAATGAATGTTGATTAACTTTTGAAAATTTGCTTCCCTTTTCATACTATAAGTACATATTATCCAATAAACACAAGTATTTTCAAACCCCAAATATTTGTTTGTAATTGGTAAATAAAATATTTAAAACACTAACTGAATTAACTTCAATGTTTATAGCTCTACGAAACTGGTACAAATAGGATTTATATGGATGGTCCTCCAGGATTAGATACACAAATATACCAACAACAACCATATAATACGAATGATCATATGTATGGTCCTTAACAAAGACTTCCATCATAGAATATCCAATGTAGAACATTAGTCAAGAGTTATTTTCTGTTAAATATATATAACTAATTATGAAAAGGGAGTTATATGTATATTGTTACATGTAAGTATACCGGTAAAAACATAATTCTTTTTGTGTAACTGTCAAAAATAAGCACCGGTAAAAATTGGACGAAGACCTAAAATTCATTTATGACTACTCAAAACAGATTTTAGGATGAATGTTAGTTAAATTATCTATTTAAAAGCAGGTGTTTAATTTGTTAAACAATTGTATTTGTTTTATTATTTTTATTTCAAAGTCATTACCGACACAAGTAAAGTTATTTGTGGTTAATAGTAAAAGAAAGACAACACATAGCTCATGCCAAAGATTGCGCCTACTAATAATTTGATACATAATCTTACTTAAGCAGTAAACTGTTTGAGTCTAAAAGTTTCTACTATTATTTAACTTGAGTTATGGAATAAGTTGTTATGAACTAATCTCTACTTTATATACTTATTTATACTATATTCAACTTGTTAATAAGAATATAATACCTCCTATATCGTCCTCATTAAACAAAAAAACGAGAATTAAACTAATTTCAGGAGAAGTAAAGTATAAATGCAATCGATGGAAGCCATTGCCAATCAATTAAATGCCTATTTTGTATTTTACAATGGCTGTAAACAAGCTTGTATGAATATCTTTTTGCCAGAGAGCAAATGCCAGACATCTTGGATTTGTATAAATCTTATATTCGGCTGTGAACCATAGGCGCTTACTTACATGGCAAAACGTGATATCGATTAAGATTCTCTTCCAGTGTGGCATTAACGTTGTGTAACGAAGGAAGCCCGTCGCAACAGGTTAGGCGACTTGCAAAATATTGGAGTAAAGAATACAATGTTTTAAAAGGAGGAAAATAAGGCTGTGTATTCTTTTCAACTTAAGAATGAATGTACTAACATGATTTTTGTAAATTCGTATGTTGATGTATGTCATCCATTAACACAACATTTAGGATCAATTAGTTATATCAGCTAGAAGTAACAAATGTAAACGTGCATTACAATTTTAAATGTTTAGAAAAAAGTAGAATATCAAATGTAGAAAATATTATACTGTTCCAAAAACAGTGACAAATTTGAATGTGTGTTTCTTATTTCTGCTTTTACTTGTGAGGTAAAACATTTATTCGAATGCATTACTGTTCCATACCTACTGGGGGACCTTTTTTGTAACCTTCAGAAAAACCAAAGTTCACTCCATACTTGAACGGAGTTCTTAACATTAACGGTACCAATTTTTCTGCACCCCATTTTGACAAATAATGTCTCGGCCGTGATGTTCGAGGCTAAAATATTTAAAATCCAAAAACCTAAAACAAAGTTGAAGAGTTGTTGCTTATTTTATATATATCGTTTTTGAATTGTTTTATGGCTGTTGTTTGTCTTTTCGTGCTTTTATCTGTTTGCTATGACCTTGTCTGTCTCACATAAACGAATGAATTTTTTATTATCTTTTGAAAAAAAATATTGTGCTACAAGACAAAAAGTGTTTCTACACGTTTTGTTAACCCAGAAGACACAGAACACGATTTGTACGGCAAACTCCAAAGTTTTTGGAGATGGTTGTACATAAAAATGCCACAGATTTTGCATATCTGATAGTATCTTGTTTTCCCGCCTTTTGTTATCAAAGTTGTGTCTCTCTAAAATGTCTATTAATGTGTGAAATGCGCGGTAAGATATTGTGTTTTTAGATTCCTATGATCCGTAAACATCAATAAAAAATAAAATAGCAAAAATACCGAACTCTAAGGAAAATTCAAAACGGAAAGTTCCTTATCAAATGGCAAGATCAAAAGCTTAAACACATCAAACGAATAGAAAACAACTGTCATATTCCTGACTTGGAAAAGGCAACTCCTTATGTAGAAAATTGTGGATTAAACCTGGTTTTATAGCTAGCTAAACCTCTCACTTGTATGAGAGTCGCATAGAATTCCATTACATTGACAACAATGTGTGAACAAAACAAACAGACATAATAGGTAAATATGTCAAAAATACGGGTACAGCAGTCAACATTGTGTTATAATCTTAATCACTATAAAAACAAACAAATATGTCAATAAAGAAAAACAAAATGGCATATAGACAAAGATAAAATATTTTGCAGCAGGAATATAAACATACCATTATTTGTCATTTTTTTTTTACGATATTTTTTTTGCAAATATAAAGATTAATCTATGTCGAAGATAATCACAGATATATTTAATTGTAACCACAATCTCGTCCTCTTTTCTTCGAATGTAACATCACCGAATGAGACATCACTTTATTTGTATTAACCGTGAACAACTTGACGGGTGTCACCAGTGAAGCAGGATCTGCTTACCCTTCCTAAGCACCTGAGATAACTCACAGTTTTGATGGAGTTTGTGCTGCTACGTCTTTAAATTTTGATGTAGTGTTTGTCTTTAAGTCGCCTTTTTGTGCCATGGATTTGTCAGTTTTACTTCGACTAGGAGTTTTAATGGCCATTTGGTACCTTTCACCTTTTTGTAAAAGTCTGATTCCACGTGCAGGTATTTAATAAAATAAGGTATTTCACATCACGCTTGTTTCCTAAGATAAAATGTGTAGGAACTGTTCTTTAATTCTTTTAGCCATAAATTAGCTTAATAGCCATAATGATAAATGTTAAAAGTTGTTGTTCAGTCCTTGTGTCTGTTATTTTTAAGCGTTTGAAGGACACAAACATGATCCGTTTGATTTTTATCTTTTTCTGCGCTAAAATACTGTTCATATTTGTTTTGAGCCTGTTAAAGTTCATGCCTTCTAGTAATTTTTTTGGACGTTACTGTTAGTATAAAAAATAAAATGTGAAGTACAGCCGTCGATATTAGATTGTAGGACGTGATGATTTCATTTCGACACAGCAAAAAAAAAAAAAATAACAAAAAGATAATAAGAACGAGGTGTAACAACTGTTGCAGTTTCTGAAAGCTGCGGTTGCTAGTTCAAAACCAATTTCAACTATTAAATAAATCTTGTTTTCAAAATCAGTACACATCAAACGGATTCAATGTACATATTCAAGTTGTAACACATCATTGGCTTTCATGTATTTGGGTTTGAGCATTATTAACGAAGGTAAATCAAGAAAAGCGGATCAGTCGACCAAATTAAAAAAAAGTGTTATTCTCATCATTAAAAACCAAATCAATGTTAATAACTTCCGATGATGAAGGCAAGCATTATTCAAAGTTCATACTAAAGGGTTACATTTATTAGCCTTTCAAAACAAGTTTATTCAAAGTGTCAATAAGTTAACATTGATCGTATCTAAATTTGCGGCTTCCATAAACAACATCACCGTGTACATAAGGATGGAGTTTCGTTTGTTATAAGGTTTTTACAGGTATAGTCAAACTTCCTTTAAGTTAGCAAATCTTTGAATCTATGACAGAATTTAGTAAATGTTTTAATTTGAACATCGGTAAACTACTTTAGCCTTACTGAATGATTGAACAGTCGTACATACATAACGTTCAGTAAAATCTAACATGTCACTATAGACCACGACATAACAAATAAATTGGAAAATATTCAGAAATATTTACAAACAGTAATGAACTTTTTATAGAAAAAGGACAAGACGTTCTTTGACATAACCCTGGTTCATCAACTTTCTTCTCAGACACTGGTGACGTCTTATAAAGTCTGAGTAGAGCTGCATACTCTTGAATACCGAATGAGTTGGGAAATGTATATCCCCATATGCAGGTGAAGTTGGTATATTGCTACTAAGGTGGGGGAAATTGATAATTTCAAAATCAAAATCGTCCTGTTTGTCATAGATTCTGGTACTGAGATGACCGCTTATGTCAAATTCGAGGTATAAGTCTAAAAATGAGGCGTAGGAAGCCGTGTCTGTTGTTTGTTTAATTTCTAGTTCTGAAGGATATATTAATGGAACCCAATCAGAAATTAACCGAGCACAATCCATATATATCTGAACAATACTGGGCGCAAATAGTTCTAAATACTTCCAAATTCGCTCGGTATGGCGTGGTCTATAGCGACGTTTCAGATTTCAATGAACAACTAGTAAATTATTAAGTCACGGATTTCGTTACCAAATTACTTAAATTAAGTCAAAAGTAGTTTATGATATTCTCTTGCCATACATAATGAGATAAGGTCTACAGGGGATATACCTTTAATAAATTATGAAATTATTCTTCTGCACTGGTGTTACGTAACTAGTTGAGGTAAAATTGTATTTTCTTTGTTTCTCTGTATTGATTGCTTTGTATTTTGAGCATATCTGATAAACAAATTTATAAACACATCTCCTACCGTTTCAAACTTTTTCCGTTGTGGAGCCTTAGAAAAGTGAAAAATGTTCTAAGCAACAATATTCAACAAACATTACAATGAATAAAAAAAATTCAAAAGTCAACTTCGCATAAATGACACCAAAGTTATCATGTTAACCGTTATGTGCTTCTTGATACACATTTAATTTAATATTATCTGCGACATTCAAACTAACATCGTAACGATTTTTGTAAATAAAATTAGGAAGGTGTACGTTGTACACTCTGAAGAAATTAAATTGTTAAATAACAGCAAGTGTATAAATATTATTTTCCCTGCAACAGACCTTTCTACTATACACATATATGTGTACAGATAACAATAAGCATTAAACGTATACAAGTCGTTTATAGTCTCTTGGTATATTGAGTCTGTTGCGAGCGTAGGGTTGTGTTTAAATTACTGTTTACATCCCAGTTCAATTGGGGTTCTCATTAGGGTCCGCGTTTAAGTCATGTCAATTTCATTTAAAAACTAATTCAACGATTTAGATGAAAAACAAACTATACGTTTAAGCTCAATGTAAAATTGCAAGATAAAAACAATATTCGTACAGTGTAGGAAAATATAAAATTTATTTGTACTCGTTCGAAACAGGAGAAAAGCTCTGTGAGTCTCGCTTTTCACTCTGTTTGTAAAGCTCGTCAAATACATTTTATATTTTCCTACACTGTACGAATATTGTATGTAAGTGTCATTAGCACACTGTGTAACGAATTCATCTTACCAACTAAAACAGCAGACGATACCAAGAGGACATTCGAAGCTCATAAGTCGAAGAGAACTGACAAGGATATGGCAAAACACGAAAGACGATGAGACGACATCAAAATCCACCAAACACTACATGCAAACCAAAGACTGGGCAGCATGAACCTCTGGGACAGCACGATATAATAAAAGGCTTAAAAAATAATTGGTAAGGGCCTTACTCGTCAGATCGACACGAAGTACAAACATCAACTAGCAAAAAGACTTTTGTGAAAGCTTGTTCAAAGCTAATTACAACCAATATGGTAGTTACGCTTTCCCAAAATAAAGTATTAGTCAGTACACATTCAAAATTTTTAGTAGTTTAAAGACGTCATTAACAGTCTTATGAAATAATTACCCATTTGATTGTGAGGACAAACTCATTTAGTTATTCAAAATTATCAGTTTGCAGCAGAAATTCCCCTTAAAAAGTTTCTGCTCTGATAAAATTGATTTTCTCTGCCAGATATATACCATAATGTAAGTACCACAGCTCATTTTTACTGACCAATATATCAAATAAAAAGTGCACTGTCCATTATAAATTGGCTACTACAGGCTTGTTTAAACTCCCATTGATCGTTTGATAAGTGTATTGCATAAAAATCTGATCAGGAATATATGTAAAAAGGCTACTGGTTAAAACTGATTGCAACGGAATATTGCATCCTTATTTAAAAGGTGATATTCTGAAATAATATCAAATTAATACTGCAATAAGATGTTTGCTTTTAGCGGAACTAATTTAGATTTTGTTGATGATAAATTCAAACATGACTAAATATTCATTCCCTTAAAGTTATGAACACTTGCAGTCCTACATCCTGTCGATACTTATAGTTTGCCATTACACATGTTTAACCTCGCCACATTCTGTATGTGCCTGTCGAAAGTCGGGAGCCTGTAATGCAGTTGTTGTCGTTGGTACCTGTCTATTGTATTCGATTTTCGTTGTTGTTTTTTACATAAATCAGGCCATTGATTTTTTCGTTTGAATTGTTTCCA